TATGGATATCTACTTGCTGAAACGAATCCCGGCGTAGCTCACCTCAACGTGATAGGCACGTTACCATAATCGAATAAAATAATTCGAAGTGGTCTGTGTTCTGTCGAAACCGCCAGACGCGAATCGCGGTTTCGATCTTTTTGGATCTCATCAGCGCGTCGCTACAAATGGCGTGGTGAGCGCCATCTGTAGTATTTTCTAAAACGCGCTGTTAAGACAGCAGGTAAAGGTTGGTCTGTGTTCTGTCGGAGCTGTCTGCGACGCGCTGATGAGATCCAAAAAGATCGAAATCGCGATCCGTGTCTGGCAGTTTCGACAGAACACAGACCACTTCGAATTATTTTATCAGTGAATATGGTTCTAATCGTGAGCAGTGATGTAAAACTATTATGGAAGCGATTATCGATATTATAGAATCTTATTGACTTATGGGACGTATGGATAATGGCTGTGATTTTCGCTGGTTGGTAAAGAAATGCTGCATTTTTAATTGGGATACTTCAATAATTTCGTAACAAAGCCGAAAGCGATTAAATATGTAATTCCTTTTGTCTGGTAAAGTCTGTATTTAGCAATTTCTTTAAAGACCAGTTTTATTATGCAAATCGACCGAGAAAGTCCTTGATCCAGATCCTTTGACACGAAATTGGTAATAATTTTTTGCTTTTTTGGTATCTGACAGTTCTAAATGTCGCATGCGGTCAACATTTATTACTTTTACCTCTTTACTGCTGTATTATTTGTACTGTTAACAAGAACCGTTGTGCGATTATTGCTTAATGTTTGCGAATTTAAATAAAAGCCTAACACATTTCACGTTGTTTTTTTTTTGTTATAACGACAATAAGTCCTAAATTGCCAAAGGGTAACTTTAAGTATAAGAGGTAACGAGAGTCTACTTTTTGCATTAGTAAAGGTTTTTTAGTTCTAATAAAATTGGAATCCGACTTACGCCTTGTGATATAAAAATTTCAATTTATTATAATTCTCATATAAGGTGGGTGTACCAAGGTAAATAAAACATGCAATTGTATTTTAAATGTTTGCTTAAACGTCTGAAACCGTTTTTGCAAAAGGTATATTTCTTCAATGGTGCCAGTCGACTTTTCTCCGCGAAATGTCTCGCATATAATTCTATGTATATGTATATACAGTATGTCCCTCAGAAAATACATAAGAACTCCTGGTAATCCTTGTGCTTCAGCGTTATTAACTTACTCAATGCAAAAGGGTATCCGCTTTTTTCTAATCGTTGATAATTTCATCATTTTTCCACACCTGTATTTTCGATTCGCATTTTTGCCTGTACTATTACATCAAAAATGGAAGAACTTCTGTTGGATGTGGACAATCCACATCGAAGATGGAAGGACTTGTGTTGGATGTGGATAATCCACATCGAAGATAGAAGGATTTGTGCTGGATGTGGACAGTCCACATCGAAGATAAAAAAAACTTCTGCTGGATGTGGATAATCCATATCGATGATGTAAGAACTTCTGTTGGATGTGAACAGTCCACATTGTAGATGGAAGGACTTCTGCTGGATGTGGATAGTCCACATCGAAGATGGAAGGACTTTTACTAGATGTGGGCAGTCCACATCGAAGATGAAAGATTTTTGAAGAAGCTCGTGCTCGCGAAACTTTGGGAAGCAACTACAACCAACGACGGCCTTTACACTTGAATCAGGAATAAAACGTAGAGATATTTGAAACTTTATGCAATAGGGTGTCCATTTTTTTGTGTCCAATTTTTCCACGCCTGTATTTTCGATTCGCATTTTTATCTGTGCCGTGTAACTTTGATTTGGGACATACTGAATACACAGGTAAATTTGTGATCGTGAAAAAGTGTACATATAAAAATGCAAATTATATCTCAACTTCCCACTCGTTGATTCCTAATATGCTTGCGTTACCGCTTAATTTTTATCGCTGTGTGAAACTGTTTTTTTCTTTTTAAGACCGTTACTTCCTGACGAATAACAACAAAAAAAATCGTCGCGATTTTGTATAGTTACTCATCGGTCAGCGGGTTTTTCATTATTTAACGCATTTTCAACCAAAACATCGTAAAATTAATAACGGATAAAAAAGATCTGGATCGTGATCGATAAACAGTTAATACGTGATTTCGTGGTAAAAATCACGTTATGTACCGTCATACAACAGTTATTTCAGTTTATTTAAAGAAAACACACTGCTATTTTCAATATGTCCCATTATAAGCCGATGGTGATTGTACAAAAGGAATTCAAAATTGAACAGCTTCTGTCTGAGTCTTGACAATAGATCATTACCTTATAGTCCTGTATTGATTTCTAAGCTTTCCGGGAAAGGAAGGAGTAGAGGTGTATGACCTACCATATAGTTTTTGAACTGATAACCTAATGATGACAATTCAGAATGAAATTGAATAGCATCTGCCTGTTTGCTAGTTTCCGTTGTAACCGGATAATCGATGTGGACTGTCCACATCCAACATAAGTCCTTCCATCTTCGATGTGGACAGTCCACATCTAACAGAAGGCCTTTCATCTTCGATGTGGACTTTCCACATCCAGCAGAAGTCCTTTCATCTTCGATGTGGATTGTCCAAATCCAGCGGAAGTCCTTCCATCTTCGATGGGGACTGTCCACATCCAGCAGAAGTCTTCCTATATTCGATGTGAATTATCCGCATCCAGCAGAAGTCTTTCTATATTCGATGTGAATTATCCACATCCAGCGGAAGTCCTTCCATCTTCGATGTGGACTGTCTGCGTCGAGCAGAAGTCCTTCCATCTTCGATGTAGATTGTCCACTTGTCCACATCCATATCAGATACGAATCAGTCCACTTTTCAGCTTCAATCCCTCCCTCATCCCTAATCGACAGATGTCAATGTGTTATTGGTTACTTTATTTGCCATGAAGGTACCTACGGGATTAATTGTTATTGTCATTTACTGTCAATATAGTAATTCGTAAGTCTGGTCATTACACTCAACGAACGGACGAAGTAATTAACTGTTCAGCGGTTATAAACCACAAGGACCTTTACTGTTTAATCCTACGTCGTTTTTCAACCCTGGCCGGTGTTCTTAGAAAGTGCTTATTAATCAGTACAAAACGTTTTTACATAAATAATATATTCTGTAGTACCTATAGAGACAACGCCCATGCATTTTAAATCCGCGTACAGAGATGCGGTGTAAATGTACTTAAACACGACGAACACATGCAAGTACGTACTTTAAAGCGTGGGATGTTTGTGTGACATTTCCAAACTTGATGAAATTTCATTAGTCATTGTTAATGTGTGCGTTGGGACGCTAACTGGATATGTATAAATGTGTATATAATAGCGGCAATTTTGTCGCGAAGTTTGTTGAACTTGGAGATCGAATCTTTCTGTCGATGTCTCCTCTTTAGGGGGTCAAATACCTATCTTTCATCTGACTATACATAGTGTGTACTATGGTTTGTAATCGTCTGTCATGCAGCTCGTTTCGACCCTTTAAACAATAACCGTCACGTTTCGTCCCATCACCGGATGAATCACCTATCATCCATCCTTGAAGAGAGGAATCTTATTGTTTGTACCCGGTGACCATAGGTATAATTGGATTTTCCGATGCCATGAACTCTGTAGCGCGGGTCAATCGCGAAGTTTATTTTTAAACTATTTAATCCGTGTTAATTTATTTTTACTTACTAAATTTTCTTTTGTCAACGAAATTATAGAATTTGAGTATTATGTTCGAGAGGTCTTGATCGAAAGAAAACTTTGTTTCGATAATTTTGGTTATTTAACTGATAGCAGGATTAAAAGTCCCTTCAAATATGTGTATTGCAGATAACAATAAAACAAACTGTAAAGTTATCAATCGTTTAAAGGAATGTCTAATAATAATTATCTGCGGGTAAATAATCTATTGTTGCCTACTGAATTGTTGCTTGTCAAACAACTGTTAATTATACAAAAAAGTATATGCAACTGATAATGGTTGATCAAAAATATGTAAATAATAAACCCACTAACGTATTGTTGCTGATAATTATATTTGCAGGCATTGTTGCTGCTTCTTTGTCTGTACGATATTGTTAAATTCAATCAGTAATTTTACGTATTCTCTGAAAGTATTCATAATATTACTGTTGCTTGTAAATATTATGATTCGGTAATGCGTAACATTGTTGTTTGATTGCTAGTTGCAATTATTGTTCAAGTAAGTACAATGTAACAACAAGTTAATGTTTTTAAATCGGAAACAAATACCTGATAACGAAGTCTGGCAAGTGCAAGTTAATTAATTATTATTAATCGAAAAGGTAAATAACTGATAAAATAAAAACTTTTATTCTGGATTGTTTATCATTTGAAACCAGTCCCTACATACCTTCCTTAAACAACCCCTTTGTTCATCACGAGTGGATGATGGAAGGCTATCATACCATATATGTAATAAAGTGCCTTAAAGTGGTACCTATTATTGCAATAAAACTGTGGGGCTTCCTCCATGGGATTCGGTTGAGGAGCTTTAGCGGCACGTAGGGACATTTATTTTTATTATACATACGTATGTATCGATATATTGATTAATAATTATTATAAACATAATTATTAGTCATTTTATTGTCTGTACAATTCGACCTCCCTTGTTATTTACTTTCACTGGGGGGGCCGCGAAACGTTTTGGTGTGCAGCAGTAGATTTATGTATAAGTCGGACGTCTGTCTGTCTGTCTGTTGGCGCGTCTGTCTGCAGATCGCCTTTCGTCGATCTCGATCGATAGCAACGACCACAATCCGCGCACATTCGCAGATGATCGCGCGATTTGATAAAGTTAGGAAACGTAGCAAATAAAAATAGTGGTGCGTGTGTGCGTGAAAGTTTTGCATATTTTTTACAGACGGACGTGTAAGCGAAAGACAGAACAAGAAGAAGAAGAACAAGCAAGTACTGGCTGTGCATACATATATGTGTGTATGTACGTACTTATGTATATATATGTATGTACAGCAGTACTACTTCTACTTGGTTATTGTTGTTATTGTTTCTTTTCATAGTCAGTCTGTACTTGAACGTCGACTTGGTCAACACGCGCGGATTTTCACTTCGTCGATGGTACTTAGATAGAAGCGGTCATGTGTTAATACCCCAGTACCAGTACTCATCCATTTGATGGTACTTACGGCTATTCACATATGAGATATGACCCACAGTGGTCGATCAAAGTTTGTATAGAGTACATGCTCCGTAATAGTGTAGGTGTTCTGTTCTGTGTTCCGTTTGTTCATCATCCGAAGCGGTTTTGGTGGTGATTTTTGTGTGGTAGTGTCCTTAGGAAACAACCCAAAGTATTTTATAATTTTTTGCAGTCTATTGCGTACCCCCCATGAAGGGGATGTTGATTGATTTTAATTTAATTTAATCCATTTAAATTGAAATTATCCTGGAAATTCTGGCACGCAATTTGTTACAAACTTTTTAGTTGCTTTTTATTTTTGAACATCTAAGAAAATATTGCGAGAGTTTTTAAAGGTTTCCTTATGTCCTAATATTTGTATGTCTTTGTTTACAACATTCCTTTATTCGCTAACACTTTAAAGTCAAGCGCCATTTAATTTACTTAGGAAGAAAAAAACTTGAATAAATATAGGCTGAATTAACTAAATCAGTATACTTACAATAATAGGGAACTTATTATACTAGTTCATTAGCTTAGGTCAATGTGGGACGTTTGTGTATGAATGTTGTTACAGAATTTTCACAGAATCAAACATCTGCCCACGGATGGCAATCCTGCTTCTAAATCTGCACCGTACACTACCGCGTTAAAAAGTTATTTATACATTTAAATTATGATCAATTGCATAAGATAGGAAAAAGCAACACCGTTTCGTAAAAAGCAGTGTGTTTGTATCAAGGTTATAACTGTGTAGAATTGTTCAAAAAAACTTGATACAACGTGGGTGGTAGGATACCAGTAGTATCATAGTATGGAATTGTTAATTTTAAAACGATTAAAAAACCGTTTAGCAACCATAATGTATGGAGGTAACTGACAATTGAATCGTTTAAATAAATGATGGGGTGCACTTTCGACCCAAGTTTTCGTTTATTCAAATTATTTAATGAAATAGCAATTTTGGCCTATTTCAGTTGGAAATAAACAATTGGAAATAGGTGCGCGGGTCTCAATATCCATCTGGGTATGTAGTTGGTTCCATGTGCATTCATATTACGGGTTACGGCTACGTCTTTAGGTAATACATTAGCAATTAGGTGAAGAATTTGAACAGAAGTGCCTACCGTCTCGTAAAATTGTAAGTGATTGTGGGCACTGTTGCCCGCTCCCCTTTTTGCAAACATATATTACAAAATGAGGCCCAGTTTTATCGAAAAAGGCATAAATCAACACGGCATTGATCCTTTTCTGGCAGCGTTAAGCACACATAAAAGCCCTAATAATTACGTTCACCGCCGATGCCGCCGTTCTGCAGAAAACCCGCCTGTCCAAGAACTTTGATAAATGTTGATTTTCTTGAGTCATTATTGCCTACACTTCGATTTCGTATAAAAAAGTACTTTATAAATAATTTGTCGGTCTAATGCAGTTTCGAGCAGTTCCAGTTTGAATTCGTAGATTATATCCCTTTTTATTCATTATTTAGTCGGCGAGAACGATTATCTAATTCATTAATTCAAGTGCTTTGGTACTTTTCTTACAACAATGTCACAATTACCATAATAATTAGTTTTGCTTCGTCAAGACGCAAGTTTTGGCTTCCCTTTGGGATAAAGTTGAAAATGTAATTAAACATTAAATTCATAGGTAATTGCTTCATAATCTGTAACTGCCTTTCCCAATTCCGAAAGAAAAACTTTATAAACTGGGACTGCTGTGATTTATTATCAAATTAAAGCGAATTAGAACTTTCGCGTTTATGTTAATAGCAGATTTACTTATTAGCTTTCTAACCAGTTAATAAATATTTTTTATGAAATAATGAGAAGTTTTTGTAGGTAATCTATTCATTTGTCTCAACAATGATTTATTAACGGTCAGGGTACGCATTTTTAGAATAAATTTTTTGATTTTCCGATTTCTAACGATACAGTCCATAATGGTTATTGATATTTTGAAGAATGTTTATTTAATGAGAAAGATAATTTCATGTTTGCAGTCCAATTTTCTTCAATTTTCGTGGTACGGCGGTCCGCCGTTTCATCGACTTTCGTTCTTATCTGATCAGCAGCACGTGACAAACTTTTTACCACCATTGCATGACGACGTTCAATTATCTTCAGTTATTTACTGCTAAAATTCCATTGCTGCCGCAGTTTTTGTCACAGCTTTTTTGCAGGCTGCATTTTGTCAATTAAACGGCAGTACATTACGCCGTTTAGATGTTTTTTTTTTCTCCTTTTAATGTTAGATAATAATCTGATCGCGTTGCACCGAAATTGACCCACTTTAACATGGCTAAACAAATAGACACGTTGTGTATGTCTAACTATAAGAAATTTTACTTTAGTTAATGTTTTTATTTGGTAATTTGATTGTCAATGAGCTAATATTCTAGCGGTAGGTATACGTTTGTAATGAAAATCGGTGCATCTATGTCCTCCGATACTACGTTTCGGTATCCAGAATATTGTGGTCCAAATTTCGAAGTGTTCAACAAGTTTTTAGTATGTGGTATTGGCCAGAACTAAAATATATATTTGTTTTTCGTGTCTTTTAGACAGTCAAGTTTAAGGATTGCAACTTATTTTGGAATTCGTTAGTGTAAATGTCAAGAACATTTATTATTGTTCAATAATTTTGTCTTTTTGGCTTTCAATAATGTTGCATGTATTTATATTAACGGCGAATTATAAAAAATGTTGGCGGAAGCAATCACATTACTACTGCTGTCGTGTTTATTTTGCAATAGTAAGGCATTATTTGATATATGTGTGAGTTCATAATTATTCACCTATGCAAATTTTGTACGTATTTGTAACAACTTAATAATAAAAAAGTCAATAGCAAAATGGACGATATTCATTTACGATATATTATCGTATATGTATTGGGTCGTCTTAATTGGAAAGGTTAACGAACCAATCTTGTTGACGAATCTCATCATTAAAAGATGTTGCCCCCCATCCCACGTAGAAACAATTGTGATTTTAAAAAATCGTATATGTTTGAGGGGTACAATGAAAGGTATTACAGTTGTCAATTATTCAGATCAACGACCGCTTGAATAAATCATTGTGTATCATCTTGGTTGGTTAATTACGCTATGATACGGTTTTGTGATCAGGAAAATTATAACAGGAAGTGTTGTCATTTCTTAAACATTGTTAAAAATAGAAAGAACAAATCATATTTACCTTTTTCTTAATAATTATACAAGGAATATCAAGACCAAAAATTAAGATGTAACGTAATTAGTTGATTTAAATTAGGTTGAGTTAGTTAAATAGTGTAAATTTTTAATTTCTAGCATTGAAAATACTGACAATTGTATCAAGATTGGTAAGAATGGTTTGGTAAATCATAAGTTTGCTAAAAAGTTACCGGTACAAGAAGTAATTGTAATTGAACAGATGATATATGAGATGTAGTAAGTATTTTTATATTTAATCTTACTTGTCTTGTTGAAAACAGTACAGAAATTATATTTTTGTTCGTTGAACCGCGAAATTCATTATCACACGGCGTTCCAAAAATTGCAAAAGTTCTAAATAATTCGGAATTGGTAATTTTTTAAAACTGCAACCAGAAGTTTCACTTGTTATTTCTATGTGAAATATTACTTTCATTTATGTGCCCATTGCAAAGTCATCAGTTAATCGTAATTAATGTAAAAGTAACAAACTAAATGGTACACATCATGTATGTACGTACGTGTTCTTCTTGATGTCGCCTCTTCTTTATATGCACCTTGTCCCGGATTTACACTGAAGGCTGTTGCACACATTGAGAAAATCCGATACCTTTTACGGTCATCAAAGTCTGCATAATAAGACTTATAAACAACAAGGTATATTTGTGTACGAATAACTATGCCACTGTTGTTATAAAATCGTAATTTACAAAAAAGAAAGTAATGTTACAGTCAAATAATTGAGCGAAATTATATTGCTTCATCTGGAACTTAAAATCGGGAAGACTCTTATTACAGTAAAACATGTAGTTTAAGGACAAGGTGTGTCACTCAAAGATATTCGTGTAGAAGATACTGCTGCCAACATCTTAATTGAGAAAAATTAAAAACAATTATTAATTAATTGGCTCGATGCTATTATTCTTCTTATCTTTCTGATGGAGGCATTAAAATAATCGTACTTTGCCTCTCTCCAAATTGCCTGACAAAGTTTTCTGCCTATTATTTTATTGTCTCAATCATTTCTAACTTATTTTTGTCTTCGTAATAAGGTGTAAAAAAGTCACAAACTATTGTGAAAGTGAAATAATACGTATACAAACAGTGAAACAGTGTAGTAGTACTTGTAGTACTTTAAAATCTCGTGTTTCGTAAACGATGCATTACGAATTGAGCCACCATCAGGATCATTACCAAATGTCAACGTTACAAGACTTCTCCCGTTTGCGCCTTTCTTCTCCTGAAGAACCTCCCGATGTTCCTGTTATCTATGTGGCCATGGCAACTTGGATACCTAAGTGCAACATGAGCCCTGAAAAGTACGTGTAGATATTTATTATATTAGAAAGTTTTAATGTGCTTAATGGTTTCTTTTTTATTGTTATTATTTAATTTTTTTATGTGTTATATGATATGCCGATTTTTGTTTTGATTTAACCTCGATTAATCATCCGATTAGGGTAAGTATTTCGCATATGAAGTATCTGCGTCGTGTATCAGCAATTGACATTCGACATGCCGTTAAACAGATAGTATCTGTACTTTTTTTATTGCTACCACACACGTCTATGTCTATTTATGGTCTTTATTACAATAATCTGTGTTTGTAGCAATTATTTGGGTTAAGGTTCTAGTAAAAGTCCAGATGGACAAGACACTTTTAGTGAGTGATACGATTGAACCATATTGCTAACAGTGCAAACCACATAATGATTTAAAAACTAGACAAATTTATAATTGTTTATTGTAAGAGTATTGGATATATCTTTTGTGTTGACGCTTTTCTCGTTATGTTGCATGCTGATACTGCGTTAGTCCACCTTAGACCGAAATAAAAACTTTCTTGCGCATTAGTGATTCCGATCACTGCACCCAGGTAAGACTTCCCGCTCTAGAATGTTTACGTAAACAAACAAAATTTTTGTGTGTTTTAGATGCCACGGTTGTTGCCATATGTTGTGCGAGTTGTAGCAGTTTCTATTTTGGTCTCGGGAGGGACTTGTAAACTAGTCTGCTATATTCTAAGAAAATATATTTTTCTAGCTTTGAAGAGGAACCCAGTTTGATGCGTCAGATACGAAACGAAGACACAACACAGGAACCGTTCGCATTAAAATCATCTGAAAGTGACGAAAGTCAAATCACTTCCTGCGCTATTGATACAAAGAGTAACAAAAATGATACTTTATCTTCGGAATTGAGCCAGACAGAGGAGTCTTTGGTATTGAGACTGTCTGAAAATGACGAAAGTCAAACGTCAATTCAAGATCCGAAAGGTCTTGATGTCACAGAACCAAATGATAACATCAGACATTCTGATTCTGGTGCTTTGGACGCTCAAGAAGAACCCAAAGCGGATCAGACAGAACAAGAAAATAATTCTGGTATCAATAAAGGAGAATCAGGAAGCGATTTGGAACCCATAGAAATAGACAGTGAGAACGATTGCTCTTTTTCCAAAAGTTTCCTTTCTGCTGCTGATCTAGCGGAAATGAAGTCAAAGATTAAAGAGAACGTTCTAAAAACCAATACGGGAAAACCAATGAGCCCAAAAAATCTTCAGAAAAAAATCGAGTCTGAATTAAGGAAAGAACAGAAACGAATAGAGCGTGAGGAGAAAGAGAAAAAGAGACAGGAATTAAAAGAGGAAAAATTAAAGCAAAAACAGGAAAAGGAAGAACAACGTAAAAAGGAGCTAGAAGCTAAGCAGAAGGAGAAGGAAAAGAAACGGAAAGAAAAAGAGGAATTAGAAGAGCAAAAGCGTAAGGAACGTGAACAAGAAAAATTGAAGAGACAGCAGGAAATTGAAGAGAAAAATAAAGAAAAGCAAAAACTTGAAGAACGCAAACAGAAAACTGCAGCTGTTTTTGCAAGTTTCTTTACGAAAAAGCCAGAGTCCTTAGACGATTGTACTAAAAAACCAAAAGAACCTTCCGAACCTTCTCTTTTTAAACCATTTGAAATTAAATTGGATATGAGATTGGCTCCACGTATTAGAACGGAAATAGACGACAGTAAAAAGACAGAGTTAATGAACCATTTAGAAAAGCAAAATGGTACTAATTTGTATTTACAAGAACTTAAAAACGGAAAAGCCGTTGGCAGTTCGCCTAAAACTTGGTTTTCCGAAGATAACGACATAAACAACGACGATGTTGTCATAATTGACGAAACGCCACTAGGGCAAAGCATTTTCCAAGAAGATAATGCAAAGGCTTCGAAAATGAAAGCCAAATTTTTAATGTTCCACGACAACAGAAGGCCAGCATATTTCGGAACTTGGCGAAAAAAGAGCAAGTATATCAAGCCGAGAAAGCCCTTGTTGCAAGACAAAGAAAATTTCGACTACGAAGTAGATTCAGACGACGATTGGGAAGACGAAGAAGATGCTGGGGAAGTAGAATCGCTGAAAGGTTCCGACGAAGAAGAAAAGGAAGCTTCAGATAACGAGTACGAAGTTGATAATGAATTTTTCGTCCCTCACGGTCATCTTAGTGACGATGAAATGAACGACGAGGAAGAGAAACCTCTATCACCGGAAACGCACAAAGCTCACTTGAAACTACTCAAGAACGAATTTGACGAGGAGAGAAAAAGTAAAACGATGCGCATCAAGCCTCGTATTTTAGGTTGTGTGTGGCAAAACAAGGTCAAGGACAATGTCGACGAAGCACTACAAAAGTTCCTGGAACCGTTCTCTGTTATATGTGTGGGCCCCATCAAAATCATAAAGCGAAGTGCCATCAATAATCAATCTCCGTATAAAAAGATTTCGACTCCCAAAAAGTTGGAGAAAGAGTACATTCCTGCCTTTTTGGCATTAGTACACGGGAACGTTAGAAACCGGAAATTTTTGGTGAACGAATTCATGGCGTATTTGAGACAGAAGGAGATCGATTTTGCAATATCTAAAGCTTCCCTCAGTAAAGAATTACAGAGTTTAGCAAAATGGACGAAATGTCCGGAAGAAGGACCAATGCTTAATAAGTTGTGCTGGTTTGTTCCTGAAAATGTTCGAAGGGAGTACCAGCTGGACCTTACTCTACCCAATAATTGGAACTATATACGTAAAGATTCAATTGATTAGGAGATAGGTGTTTAGTGTTTAAGTGCATTTGATAATTTTTTAAGATAGCTTTTAGTTTAAACTTGTAACAGTGGTAGAGCCTAATTAAAAAAACGAAATGTAAGCCAATATTTGTAGTTTAAAAATAAAATTTGTTTTTACATTACAACTGAGGTCTTATTTATTTACTCATTAACAATCAGAAAAAATTTTTTTTTAATCGTAAGTTGTTCGTCCAATGTAGCATTGACATCCAAAGGGTCAGTCGATCGGACGGTATGTAAATAATTACCAGCAAACATTTAGTGGTGGTAGTCGCTGCAGTAAATGTCATTAGAATTCTAAGTCGTGGCCATTAATAATTGATGCTCGAGGTCTCAGGAGTAGGATTACAAAAAGCAGTTCCAATTAACGTTTCCGTTTCCTTTGTATACCATCAGTAGATTTAATGTGATTGTAAATTGCAATTACATACGTGAAAAATGAATCGTTCGCGTTCTTAAGAAGGGTTGTTAACACCAAATCTGTCATCACTTCTTCGTATCCTTAACTAATCTTTGCAGAAACCTGGAACATCCCACATTTCTATCAATCTACATATTCCTCTGTCTCTATTTACTATTGTTCCTGCTTCTAGTATGTCTCCATCTGGTTTTTTATATCTCTCTTTTTCTTTATCGACTTAACTAGCCCTCTCTGGTTCTCCTATTTCTCAAACCCACTTAACTTCATTTCCTTTCCCCTCTACTTAAGTACGGTTAAAATATTGCCTTTACCCTTACCATCCTCTCGTATATATTGCTGCGCACATTATCCTTTAAGTACTGAGCGGCATGTCCTAGAGGTTTAGACCGTTGCTTAGCATTCGGGAGGACGCGGGTTCGATTCCGGGTCGGTCTGCCTTGGTTCAAGTTTTTCTATGGTTCCACATTCCACAGTCTTTCGGTCTCTTCTGTCTTCATTTCGTCAATCTCATATTTCTCGCCCGAACCCGCACCCACCCATTCCCACGATTCCTGAAAGGAGGCTGAAGAGGGCCTTCCGCCCTAAGTCCCGGCGTATTTGTGGCTGGTGGGAATTAAATGAAGTGTAGTAGTTAAAGCCATGCTACAGATAAATACACCTTATTTGGAAGAAACTCAAGCAAATGTTTTGTGAAGCTAATCATATTCAAAATTGCTCCCTGGAGAATGTAACCAATGAATAAATGCTACTTAACGACGTATAATATTTCCAATGATGCATTGTTATTCTAAGTCTAGAAATAATTAGCCAAATTTAGCTTCAACCTTGGTTTTTTATCACGGCAACAGATCTTCAAGAACCGAACACAGTCGGATACTTTTTATCGCCTGTGATATTTATGATATCTCCATTGATCTGCAGTTTAATTATACCAAATTAGGCATTTACAAAAAAACAAACATTCAGTGTGTTGCGCGAACTTTTTGCGACATGGTAGCGTTACATAATAATCTACCAGAGGCATATTATGCCATGTTGTGATGGTATCGTAAATTTTCATGTTCCAAGTTCATCTTACGTAACTATGTCAGTGCTATCGAACTCGCTAGCTGGCCGCTCATTATTTCGGCCGAAATAATTAATTAAATGGTCGGTGACTAATGTCTAGGGTGTGTCCCTGACTATACACGCAATATTATAATCGGTCTACTACTGGAATAGACATTGAAGGAAGTAGAGGAAGACAGCATTGTTGATGTATTGCTTTTTTGAATTTGATTTGTCCCACAAAATGATATTTGCTCAGTTTCATCTAAATCAAGTACGTATTTCGGTAAATGTCTAGATGATTGGATCGAAAGAGGTCTCCCACCACTGTACTATAAAAAGTTCGTGGCGGTCTCACCCTCATAAAAAGTAGTGGGGGTTAGATGATGGGGGGATTGAAAGAGGGTGATCACCTGAGTAAAACTCCATAAAAAATTTGCGGCGGTCTCAATTCCATAAAAGGTTATGGTGGTTGAAAGTTGATTATTTTGACAATTTTCATACACTATAATTCAAATAAAATTCAATAAAAGAATTAATTTTCAAGCGGGTGGAGGTGGGGGATCGAAAGAGGGTGGTCACTTGAACAAAACCCGATAACCTAACCTAACCTACCCTATTGATAAAGATATTAAATAATGTTTTATATAACTTTCTCAATATTTTTATGTATTTTTCATTAGTTTTACTTTTGAATATTGTTTAAGAATGACTATATAAATATTTACATGCCTAGAAATGTATAAAAATTGGCATATTTATTAACATTGAACCCCCACAACTTTTTATCGGGGTGAGACCGCCACGAACTTTTTATGGTACACTGGTGGGGGAGATCTCCTCTTTTTTTCGATCACCCCCGAAAGGGGTGGGGACCATCATCTAGACCTTTACCCGTATTTCTATTTGAAGTCATTCTGATGCTTTAATTTTACTTCTGTTAGATAATTTTTGAAGAAATGTGCACCTAAAAATAAAACGTTTAATAATCTTCTTAAAGTTGAGAAGCGGGGAGAATGAAATCTGTTGTTTCACTCACTGGTAGGTAATTTTCGAATCCAATTTAAAAATAATTTGAGCTCACAATGTGCCTAAAGCACTTGTGTAATAATAATGCACCAATTAGTATTGCTGTATTGACTTATTGCATACGCACATGCCAATTATAGGTAGCCTAATTATCATTTATCAAAATGTTCGATATCGGTCAGCGCTGCTTTGAAAGTCCTTGCTTATATATGCGTTGCTTGCCTTTGAAAATTTGCATTCTTCGATTGTAAAACAAAAGGGGCGTCGAATAATACTGTAAATATTATCTTATCGACCATTGTCTTCACGTGAAAACATTAAAAGAAGGCGTGTTACAATGTTTCGAAATGGACGACCTTAATTTGTCACTCGTATCAGTATTGACTAAGAACAAATATACCAGAATAACGAAGTCTGTACACATATACCTAATATGTAGATTTACATATTTATAGTAATGTCAACATTGATAAATCATAATAATTGTTTAATGGTAGAAAAATTATTCCGTTTAATAATTTAATCGTAAACGGTCTGAAAATCTAAATTGTTACGCACTTTTGTGATAACCATTGTATGGGGTTTCGTTTATGTGAAATATACTTACCATATATTAACGTATATTTTAGATAAATATATTCAAAGTCCTTCATAATCCTCTTCAATATGTCGAGGATGTCTCCAACTAGCCCTTCATACCTGAACAGGTGTCCTACCAACCTATCTCGTCTATTTCTTATTGATTTCCATACAGTCCTCTGTTCTCTTATTCTTTCTAATACGTCTTCATTTCTAACCTTCTCTATTCACGGTATCCTCATCATTCGCCTGTAACTCCACATTTCAAACGCTTCTAATCGAATGTTTCGCACCCGTACAACGCTGCGCTTCAGGCCTATACATTAACAATTTTTTTTTGAATTTCTAAATTAACGTAAATTAATATCGAAAATCAGACTCTTTTTATAATTTCTCGTGTTGCTTCTTATTTCAAAATCGCTGTTGGCAGTAAAATGTATAACGATTTATTTGCGTCTGAAATACGTCCACATTTGGTTTGAATCCATATTGTATTTTATGTACAGTTTTCCAAAACTCCATTATAATTTGTCATAACATTAATTTATCATTGATTGTTGCGATTCCTAAAAGAGCGAATGAAAAGGGTTTATCATATTGCTCAATGTTTTACAATTAAGAACCACTAAATTTACAAAAAAATAGTACAGCAGGTAAGTACTTTATATCAATGACAGTGTAATGTAGATTGTAAGTGGTGCTTCAAATTGGAACAACTGTGTTCTTCTGTGCGTACGTAATGCGTTTAAAAGGCCTTGTATCAAGGCATCATAATCTTATTCTAGGCGAAGTTTTAGAGCCTTATACGGTTTCGCCGCATGACATTTTCCACGTGTCCAACTGGCAAACAAATGACACAATTCGTTCTGAAATCAAGCAAAAACGATACGCTAAATTACGATCATTTTATGCTACTATTTTTTAATCACGTTGCATGTTTGTGATGCACGTGAACAACACTTGATCTAATTATTATTGACTTGATAGAGAAAGGATCAACTGTCTGCAATCCTGAATGATGCAGCACACTAAAATATGCATTATCGAGGTTTTCGTTTGTTTCTTTGCAGCAGTGCGAGGACCCACAAATCGCGGCAATATGATCGTGATAACAGCAGTCTCGAACGACGTTACAAGAGGAGCCATCGTCGATCGCCGACGTCGAAAAAGCGTCACAGGCATCGCGGCGGCGGAGGTCATGAACGGTCCATTTCACGCCGGAAGCACAACAGTCACCGACGCTCGTACTCCTCGGACCAGGTCAGTGTCAATTACAATAACGTGGGGGGTTGCAGGTGCGCGCGCACCCTCGCAATTCCTCCCCATTTACGACGATTTTCTCTTGTTTCCCCGGGGAGGCGATTGTCTCGCGAAGAGCCGAACGGCAAGAAGCGAAAACGTGTTCAGTAGTAACAGAGAAAACTTGAGTTTCAAAAAAGAACATACCCATTTACCTTTCAATTTTTTTTTTTAATTAGCTGCAGATGATCAAAGGTCCTTCAGATTACTAATGTCTTTTGTGGAACTCAAGTGGGAAGGCACATTTTTGCTTCGCTGTTTTGTCATGTACAAGTCTTATTTTCATTGTAAAAATATAAAGTACACTCTGTGCAACTAAAGTAAAAAGAAAACACTTTCGTTATCGTTAGCTGTATTGTTTTATGTAATTAGTACATATTCATTTGTTTTACAATCGCTTCCACCGGTAGTAATTGGCCGGTAAGAATAATTTGGATTTTCTCTTTGTTTTTGTTACAATTTTCCTTTATTATTTAATTAAAAATGTTGCATATTTTCACACACTTTAAACATTACCAATCCTTTGGCATTCAAAACCCTCTTTCGAGTCCTTGATGTAATATCCCGTTTCCAAGTAAACGAAAAACGAAGAACAGCGCCTGCTGTCTTTTACTGTTTCTGTGCACTATTAATGTAAATAATTAATTAACAAGGGTACTTAAGACAAAAGGTAAGTCATTAAAAGATGCATGCGAATACCAGACGTTAGAGACTTAGCCAATAATTCTTATTTCGCTTTATAAATTGATATCATCAGTTCTGTTTTTCCTGTTTATACAATAGATTGATGAAAGTCTTGTAATGCCTTTCCATAATTAGCTCCGTGATGTATTAATTTTTTTACCTTCAAATTAATCTCGATTTTAATTTTGAAATATCCTTTTTTAGAGGAAGGAAATTGGCAAGGTTGAGTAGAAAGAAGGTTAACTGCCTTTATATATTTTGTATAAAATGAATTATCACGTCATACGTCGACTCTATATACCTACTTTATCATTTGGTGGTTCCTTGTGTTTTTATCTTGCGCAACTTCTTCTGAATGTCTACTTAATTATTTTTCTTTTGTTCGTGCTGCTCTTTATATACATACTGCGTTTAAGTCCTGGTCCTTAGCCTTTGTTATCTCGCTCTTATTTACTCAATTTACGTAAATTGATTGTGGCAACAAATAAATAACTAATGAAATAATTATTATATTGCGCGTGTTATTACTTTGAATAGAAAAATGAAGATTGCTTGTTCAAAGTACATTTTATAGTTTAATATGCATTATTGTTGATGATCAAACTTTGTTTTCTATAAAGTTATTAGATAATTTTGTGTATACTTTTCCTACAACGGAAAGTTCCGTATTGCGGTTTTCGAATTTCCTGTGAGGCACATAAAACTTATCAGGAACTTTTGGTTATTTCTTGTTTTATGGTGTCGTGGGTGGTTTTATTTTTGCGTTTTTGGAAAATCAAAAACAGTGTTATTATTAGCTCTAGGCTTAGACTGTTCTGTTACACATTTTCTATGAAGGATAATGACTCGAAAAACACTTTTAAGTAAAGTGTTATTGTTTCCACGTGGAGTGTAACAGTTTACGAAAGATTTTGCAGACAAAATTAGAATATTTGGAAAACTTCCGTGGGTTTTCTTTGAAATTGTTGACAGGATTCTTGAAGTTAATGAGAAATTAAGGTCCTTGATGTCCTTGAATTTCAGGAAGGCTGCAATCGTCAGTCATCGATTTAGAATGTTTTCTAATTGCGATGATTAACACTAACTGAATCATGAATAGTCGGCGCTCCTTTTTGCACAATCCTAATTTATTTTCGGCAGTCCGACATTTCGTACTAAACAAAACTTCCATGCACTGACGCCGACGTCAGGCGTCGTCGGTTGGTCGGTTGCGGCCAAAAACAAACAAATGAGAGTTCGAGTCCGATGCGGCGCGCCGCATTTAGATGACCGACGGCCGACCACCACGTTACCGTGGGACGGACGCGGTAGGCGTAAGCGGCGGTCATCGGGACGGATGAGGGACGGCGGTCGTGCTGTACCAGTGCCACCGGGGACGGTCGGTTGTGCGAAAAAAAAAAGAGACACATCATCTTGACGTTTCTTTGTTGTGGTTCTTCTTCTTCTTCTTCCGTTCGATTGCACGGAAGAAATTCCCCATAATGTGGGAGAAGGAGGTGGTATTATGAGAATGAGCAAATCCTCCTTGAGGACAAGCGGGAGAACTCGGAAGGAGTGAAACAAAGAAGAGTAAGTCCAAGACTGTTTGTTTGTTTGTTTTTTGATCATTATTATTCTGTCGAATATCGTTTGGCTGATAACAATTTAATTCGGTTCTTGATAAAACTACGACGCGTCTGTATCTCTGTTTGTTTTCATTATGATCATCACATTGTTGTTCGTTCGGCGATGATTGCAAAAAGCGGTTCA